CCGCGTCTCACCTTATGACGTCACGAGAGGTCAAGCATCGCACGAGATAGTGAAGTGCATTGAATTTACATGTATTTTTCCTGTGCCACCTGCAATAATCTAAACAAAAACTACTGACGCGTGCCGGGAAAAATCAAATGAACAATGCAGAGCGCGGCTGGACGAAGTTCTCGTGACGACACACATACTTTAAGGCGGTATATCTCAGCGATGTTTTATCGTAGAATAGTGAGGTTTGAACAGTTCTTTGGCGCACACCCCCTTTAACAGGTATGGTGGATCGATCCCGCATTTTTCTTTTTTTGTGTCTTGCAAAAGGCCTTTATTATTACAAGATAATAAAATTTGTGGAAATTTTGGTTAATTTTCTTCGCTATTCCATCCACAGACGCGTTTCGACCTATCATTTTACTCGTCGTAGTTAAATTTGTGTTCATGATAACTTGGTCGTCCTAGAGAGATCGGACGGAGTCTACACGAGCACTAAGGAGGAAAGCTTTGGGTTGTTAATTATTGACACCCATTTTCCGGGATCATTCACAATCACTGATCAATCTAGGCTGCCAGATCAAGACCCAGAAGACCATTGAAGGTGGATTGGGACAGGGCAAAGAATCTGGTAACATATGAGAGAATTAAATGGGCCATAGGGAGTTTCACCCCTTTAAACCGCCAGGCCTGGATGGAATCTACCGATCAGTACTGCTCCAGAATGGTCAGGACATAATATTGCCACACCTATATACCCATATAATATACCAGAAGCTTGGCAAAAGGCAACAGTTTAGTAGAAATAATAGTGGCGAAGGGCTGCCCACAGGCAGGCGTTTTATCGAGATTATACTGGGCGGTCCTGGTCGACGATCTGACAAAAATGGCCAAGGAGAGATTTCACTGCCTCGGCTACATGGACGATATAGTCCTGGTACTCCTGGTAGTCAGATGCAGGCATCTAGAACATGTCTCAGAAAGAACTCCAAAAGCATTGAACATAGTAGATCGGTTAATCTGCAGAACACCGTTATTCTCCCATTCACAAAGAAACGAGCACTAGGGCTTCGATGTCCTAAGCTTAACGGAGCGAAAATATTCTTCTCAAAAGAGGTCAAATATCCAGGAGTTATTCTCGATCAAAAGATGGCCTCGGGTCCACACCGCAACAAAGTTGTCCAGAATGCTTAAATTTCCCTGGGGAGATGCAGAATGCTTTGTGGAAAAAGCTGGGGACTTAACCCAAAGATACATCTATGCCGCCACTACATATCTACAGACAGGCTGGAGTGAAGGCGGTACTCTACAGACTGAAGCAAGGGTCCAAGAGCTGGAAAATAGAGGAGGATCTAGAGGTTAGTTCCCTGTTTAAGATGCCCTCAGATGAATCATTACCTATTTTCATCTTCAACGGATACTTCCGGGTTGCCATACCGCATACGGAAAACTGGAAGGAAGGTCCTCCAATTAAAGCAGACATCTGATACCTACACTGACGGCTCTAAGACCAACAAGTGGATCGGAGCTGGTATCTACGGAGACCGACCAAAGGTGGAGATATCCATAAGTCTTATCATGGTGTTTTGGGCGGAAATCGCTGCAATAATGCACTGTGCCATACTAATAAATGAAAGGAAAGTTAGGAGTAAAAATCATTCATCATTTACTCGGACAGCCAGGCGGCCCTTGAGGCAATCAGCTCCAAGCTAGTTGGGGACTGTATATGTGCCCTAGAGTGTAGAGAGGGGTATAGGCCTGTCCAACAAACTGAAAAATCCGACGACTTAGCCAAAGGAGGCTCAGCCACATAGACAGAGAGTTCCGAAGCTGGTGGCATCAAACACCAGGACAACGAAAGGTAAAGCAGTTCATCAAATCCTGCTCGCCCAAGTTCACAGCAGACCTACTACTAAGCTACAGCCGCAAGATTGTTAAAATAACGGTAGGCCAATTAACAGGGCAAACTTAACAAGCACCTCGAGCCTGTACAGGTTCTGCTAGAAGGCGGAAGAAACTGCCGTACATGTGTGATGCCACTGCGAAGCGCTATACAGGCTTAGAGAGGAATTGTCAAATCTGGCAACTATATGGAGTGGCCAGTATCATCAAGAACGCACTTTAAGGACAGATAGGAGACACCACAATAAATCTGACAAGGTTGCAGTGGTAGAGGACGCCTCAATGACTTCGGGAGCTCTTAAAAAAATTATTAGATTTATAGTTTTCTGCTACTTGGGTCAGTTAGTTATCTCGGTTCGATATTTTTCATTGATTTATCGAAAACATTCAACAAAAATTGTAAAAATTTGAAAGGAGAATTTATTGCTGAGTACCTATTGGTACTTAAATTTTACAAAAATATTAACACGATGAAGAAAATTGTTTCAAGATTTTATCCGAAAGTCCGTGTGCCATTTACTGCATCGGCAGGAATTAAAGAGAATTTATTGCCTAAACCACAATGATTCTTCCTGATTCATGTGGAAAGATTTATTTAGTTGTGAATTCTTTCCATAATTTTAAGTAGAAAATTTTTGTACTATGACCGTTTGTTTGAATTCTTGATTGCATGTTTTTGTATATAAAGCGCGTAGTTGTAAGCCAGTAAGTCAGTTCAAAAAAGAGAATTGTTGTATGGACTGAACTAAAGGCGATAAGTTACCAGTGAAATTTGTATATTCAATGGGGTCAATAAAAGTTGTTATTGTTAGTGGAGCAAATGTTAGTGGATTCGCGGAATCCGAGACAATAGTACATCGAGTTACTTTATACTAGGGAACAATTTCACAGAGTGATTTTGCTAACATAACATCGTGTTCTATTTGAAAATTAGACATTTCTGGGATACGACTGCTGATTCAAAAAGTCAATATTAACCTTCAAACGAATGCTACGACCATCCGCCCAGGTAAGACAAGACATTCTTCTAAAAGTGGTTTTAGAGATTTCTCGATTCAATTCAGTGAATCAGTTCAATTAAGAGAATTGTATAAAGTTAAGTAAAAGTGTTTATTGAATTTTGTAGAATCATGTGGTTCGATAAACGTTGTTAACTTGTTATTGTCAAAGAAGTTATCCGCGGAATCCGTGAGAATATGATAATTTTGTGCACTATTGCAGAGTTTGGAAAACGTACCTACTAACTTTAGCGTCTTTAGCTAAATGCAGTAAGAGAGCATTTTTTGGAAATTTTCTTAGGAAAGTGTTTGGAAGTTCTTGTGATGATTCACAGTTATTGAAGACGTTATAAACACTATTAGTCTACAACTCCTCAGCTTTTCAACAATACTTAAACACCTTGTATGGTAGGATAAATTATATTTCAAGAAAAATAAAAGTATTATTTCAAAAAGTACAAGTCTGAGGGGTCAGAAAATCCGGGCGATCTGAGACGTATATTTACGCACCTTCATTTAGAAAACAATTAATTGCATAGATACATTTTGTATGTTCAATTTTCTTGAATGCTAAGAAAACATATAGATACCTATATGATTCGAGATAGGTAATATCCCTACATTTCAATTACAAACTTATCATTATATTCCCATTAGTTCCGTTTCAAATAATGTATTTATGAGGAATCAGGGGGGTCAGAAGTCATTACGAACAATTATGGAAGAACAAGCAGTTTTTTTTTTAAATATTTTCCAGATATTCAAGGTATCTATAATTATTATTATCTATATTGGATATGCAGTGAAAATCTCCAATCCAAAGTATCTAATTCGAGGTATACCCCTTTAGGAGTAACGAAGGAAGGAACATAGGAAGTTTCCACTTATAGTGACTAGTTCCGGTACTCGAGTACCAATATAAGTACAATTTACTCGAGTACTGCCTAGAGAATCAACGGGAAAAAAAGAAAACATTGTTCAAATCAAAGTGTAGTTAAATTATTTCGAGCATCGCGAAAATTGAAGAAAATGAGGAGGATTCGAAAAATATCGAAATAAAACTTAGGCTCTAGAGTGGAAGATTATTTTTTTCCCATTTTGCTCAGAAATTGATGTCTCCTATCAAAATTATACAAATTGGCCGCACCTGTAGAGGATGCTCCTAAAAAATGCGATCAAACTCAAAATAGCCAATAGCTAGGTACCTAGATAGTACTAATAGAAATAAGAAAACATGGTTTTGGAAACGCTCCGTTGTCAAGATAGATCAGGCAAATTAGGTCACAAAAAATGCAAATTTTTTGTTTTCCTTTTCACATAAAAAGCTTAGATTGAATCTGACATTAGACCTTATTCTTATTAAAAAAATATTTCAAAACACAATTGACATGAAAGCTTTGCTGAGCCGTTTCAGGTTTTGTCAAAATTTGCCGGCTATATTCGCTTCTTAGGTATTATAACAAGTCATTATCAAAGTGCAAGAAAATTAACTTTTTTACTCACAGGTAGGATTTCTATTTTATGTAGAAAAGGATTTTTGAAAGTGTAAAATACGGCTAAATTCCTTTTACATTATGACAAATATGATAAAATTTATCAGTTTTACATTGTATTAAAATTTTATTTCATGAATACCTAAATGTATCTTGATTCTTGATTCCTGCTCAAGTTATTTCAATGCCAAATACTTACCTATTAAAAACGACTTGATTGAAACCATGATTTTAATCAACTGATTCAAACTTTTCAAACCCTAATTGAAACTGGTAAATCGACATATCCACTTACTAGTGGAAGACTTTGAACAATAAATATCTATACTTAATAAATTTTGGTGGCATAAGTAGGTAGGTACATGAAAATATAACTGTAGGTCATTATTTAATTCCCAATTTTTCGAAGCACTAGGTACTGACAATTTTAATATTATGTTGAATTCTCAATTTTGTATTCTCTAGATTACGTTTTACAGCCACGACTAGATATTTCCAACAATATCTCATGGGCAGTTATGGAAAAACGCACACAGTAATAATAGTCAATAAATTGATGGTAAACTTTTTTTGAAAACAAAACACAAATTGCGAATTTTTTAAAAAATAAAAAACTTACCTTCTAAAAACTTTGACAGGATGTTTTCAAAAATATCCCATACAGACAGCTAGTAGGAGCAGACACCAAAGATAGACACAATAATGGTAAAAAAAAAAATAACAAAAACAAAGTTCCAGAATATCTTGGCTTCCGTTGACGACGATGCGAACAGTTCAGTGGTTTGGCGCGAAAAACACAACTTTGGCGCGCTTCTTAGCACTCTTGGCCGTCCTTAGGAGAGGCGGACACAACTTTTTACTTTGACACTTGCGCAATTTTGCGGCTCGCACACTTTTGATAACCGCCGAAATCTTTCCCTGGTTTATAATCCAATAAAGTCATAACGCACCTATTTTGGTTATTTTGCATACCAGCAGATGTAAGGCCATTATTTGACAATTATTTTAAGTTGTAGGCTGTAATTTTGAATGGGATAACATTTCAACAAGATCAGAGTGTGCGGCGCTGAATCCCTACAATAGGGAACTTGCATGAAAAAACAAATTGATTATTGTTTCTTGCAAACTGTGGGAAATCGAAAAAAAATCGATACCTATTTTAGCTGTGCACATATTTCGAAAGTTATACAAATATTAGGTTTTGTGTGTATAGATATACTGAGCATGTGCGACGTCATAAAGTTATATGATTTATGACGTCATAGACACATTTTATAGCGTTATTGTATCTCCGTCAATTTTTGTCAAGTCAATATGGCATCTCTTTCAAATCATTTCTGAAGTTGTCCGGACCTGATCTTCCTCTCAACTCGCACATCACGCCTCGTAAACCGGGTCATTCCCACAATTTTATTCTCTAGTTCAGGCCTTGACACGGAATAGCGACATCAACTCGCTCTTTCTGTTGTCTTGGATGTTATCTATTTGATTTCTGTGTCTTTTTTTATATATTGGTCCGTTAACAAAACACAAAAAGTCAAAGTTTATACTATCTAAGCGGTACCGATTAACCCTTGTTGAGAAATACCTATGTCAAAGATAATTTTACTTGTTTCACACATTTAAGTGGGGCCAATTGAGATGATTTGATTATGAAAACTTTTTTAGGTTGTTGGGTAAAAAGAAACTTTCCATAAAAGCCTTTTCAGTTTTTTTATAAACTGGATGAAGCTTCCATATTTTTCACTCTTTTTGTAGAAGTTAGAGGCTTTATTTTTTTTCAATTTAAAGGACTTTTCAATATCAAGTTCAAATAAAATTGATTTTTTTGTTTCAAAGGATTTTTCAATATCAATCTCGAATAAAATTACTTAGTCCTCTATAGTTTTCAAGTTATCGTTAAATTAGAAATCATAGATTTGTATATCTATTGACAAGTAAAAACACTTACCTAGGCCTAGGCGTTGAATTTACTGAAAAATCATACAAGTATTCTTGTTAAATTTCAACTCCATTTCCCGCTCATCCCCCTAAAGGTAGTTTTTCCGATATTTTGCCATCTAACCCCACTTGTCGCATTTCCATATCTATAAATTTTCCCATATAATATGTACCGAAAATTATGGAGGACACTGTAGATAGGAAGCTGAAATTTTCAGTGAATCTTATTTAGTATAGAAGCTTTCATACAAACCCTGAAAATTCAAAGAGAGAATAGACTCAACTAAAAAACAGAACCTTCAAAAATAAAATAAAACTTTCACAAAAAAAGACGTCTGGAAGATGTTGTTTTGAAAATTTCCATAAGATATCGTAAATTTACATCTTAAAGGCAACTATTTGGTACAACCAGGCATGAAAGTAAATAATGGTTCATGTATTGGAAAGAGATTCAAAGACGTTTTTAAGAAATCTCGTTAAGACGTTTTTAAAATGTCTTAGTCTTAAGGACGACTTTAGGCAGACGTCTGAAAGACTTTAAGATGACTTTGAAAAACCTTTAAGACGTAAGCAAGACGTCTTGTATGTCGTATACATCTTGTTAGAGTCGTTTTACACGGCAAAGTTTCTTTACGAAATTATTCACGAAATTATTGCCAAAATATTGCGTAAGTTTACTATTCTTGGTTTCGCTTTCTACCTGTTTGACACGGCAAATAAAATTTAGCAAAATTTTAGTGAAAATATTAGTCATACGCAGGCGCAGTTACGTTTTGCCATCAATAATATCAAATCATAACCTAATACTTTGGTACAACAAAACAAATAATACTTTCGTTTTGTGATTGTTGTTGAATCTTTGTACTCTTCTGCAGTTTCATAAAGTTGCATTTCTGTCTTCCTTCCATAAATAAAGTTTTCTTTGGATTTGCTCAGCTGGTCCTCTCCCTTCTATCGCACTTTTTTGACCGGTTGATCCGAAATATTTCGTAAGTTTTCCTTGTCCTGTAAGACAGGAAGAGTTGACTTACGAAATATTTTGGGCAACAAGTTCGTGAATAATTTCGTAAAGAAACTTTGCCGTATAAAAGGCTCTTTAGGGACGTCGTTAAGATGTCTACAAAAGTTTCCCCCAAAATTCGTTTCTCATTCAATTTAGAAGTTACTGGATACCATTTAGAATATTAAAGAACACTTTAGAACTTTAATAAAGCCTCTTGGAAAGTTCAAAACATCAAAAATTCAATTCAGAATTGCCAAAAGCATTCTCTTCGTTTCAGAACATTTCAGAAGGCCCCGAAACATTCAAAACCCGATTTACAATTTCCAAAAGCATACAGAAGTTTGAAACCCATTTCAGGACGCTTTTAAACACCACACTCTAGAAACTCCAGAAACATTTTGAAAAGCGCCAGAATCTCAAGGATTTAGGTTTTTAGAAAGCCTTTTTTAGGCAAATTTAGATTATTGTCGAACTTTAAAACTTTAATAAGCATCCAAACCAGTTCAAATCCAAATCAGAATTTTCAGGAGCATTTTGGAACCATTTAGAAACTTCATAGTTATTTCAGAACAATTAGTAGATATTCAATTTAGAATTGGAAACCTTTTAGAACTCTTTTGAACCAATTTGGAACACTTTGGAGCTTCAATGTACTAAAATACATCTGGTCAAAATAATTTCTGAATTACTGAAAAACTTCTAAAATGCTTCAGAACTTCTCAAGTCAAGTTAGAATACTTTAGAACTTCAATAAGCCATTTTGGAATGTTCCAAAACACTTTCCAGCAGCATTTTGAAAGGCTTCAGAAAAATTTCTATACCTCAGAATTATTTCAGACAGCCTTAGCGCCTGGAATAGACAAAAATGGAAAGTTATAAAGTAATAATAAAGAAATGTTCCTCTTTCAATTCAAACTCTTGAATTTTTATAGTTTTTCCTATTCCAGGCTCTTGATTTTTCTTTATTTATGTATTCTTGGGCCTTAATTTTCTTTTGGATATTGAATTTTTTCATTCCAAGGTCTTGAATTCTCATTATTCCCATATTTTAGAATTTCACTATTGATTTGTTTTTTAATTTTCACTCCTGGCTCTTCTAATGTTTTTCTTCCAAAATAAATTTTATGTATGTTATCGTTTAATAGAAATCAAGAACTTATAGGAGCCTAGCGTTTGGAATAGACAAAAATTGAAAGCTATGAAACGAGTAATATGATAATGAAATATTAGTCCTGAAGACGTCTTCAGGCAGACGTCTGAAATGAAAGATGTTGGGTTTTGTAACATACAACGTCTTTGAGATGTCATTAAGACGCCTTGAAGACGTAAGCAGGCGTCTTGAATGTCGCTTGTGGACATCTTGGGGACGTCTTTAAGATGCCTCTGTGCAGTCTGGGAATACCTATGAGTTTGAATTTTAATTTAGAGAACTGCTTTCCAGTTGAGCTCTACTGGTATTTGGTCTTTCCCATTCAAAATGCATGATGTTGGAAATCTGTCAAAGAGCCAAAGTGTTTATTTTTTGATAGCAATACAATTAAATGGGAAAAATCAAGTAAGTGTAAGTACCAGTAAAGTACCAACTGAACCACTATTTGTTACAACCAGCGTTCAATCAATCTTAGGATTTTTGAATCTGATGTGATGTTTTCGTATAGAGTTTCGGCCCCCAAATTGCGAACGAACAGCCAGTCCAACATAACGGCTGCTGCAACTTAACAAACATGGAAATGTCTGCCCATATAAAATAAAATTTATCGTTTGGATGGCATGACTGTTGTGATTCTAAAATAAATTTCTCTTGTTGTGAAAATAATAAGCTACAGCGGTGCATTATTCTTTTACTTTTCAAAATTAGATCCAGTAAGAATTTCTAGACATAGTTTTATTTAGAGATTTGTTTGCTGTGTGTACTGAAGGACTATAGTTACCGCAGTCTGTACCATTTAATATTGAATTTTATCATTGGTCATCCCATTTCGCTTTGCAATTTTATCAATTTAGGTTATGATGAAGCAAATAATTTTCCTTTAGCTTCAGAAGCAATCCTTAAACAGTGCTACGGTAATGATATTTTGGCAGGCGCCAATACTAAATACGAGGCAGCAGTTGATAAAAATGTTGAGTTTCATACTTCACAAATGGAATTCTAATGATCAGTCGTTGTTAAACAATAGTGTTGAAAACGACAAGAAGGAAAAGGATATTTTGGATGGAACGGTTTCAAGTAAAATTTCAGGTATTTTGTTAGATTTCGACAGAGAATATTTTCAAGATTTCAATTCCAGATGTGTGTTGTTACACAAAAAGGAAGGTTTTCTCTTATAATGCGCAGATGTTCGATCCCTTGGGCTTGGCAGGACCAGTTTTAGTGTTAGCAAAAGTGTTAATGCAGGAAATTTGGTTTAGGATTGGGATGAGCAGCTCCCGGTAGATTTAAAGGAAAAATGGTTTTCTTTTGCTAGCAGTCTATCTTGCTTAAGTTGTTTAAAAATTCTTCGTAATTTGTTCATACAAAAATCGCTGGTTGACATTCAGTACCATGGATATGCGGATTCTTCCATAGTCGCGTACGATGCTTGCATTTATATTAGAATTGTTTATTCTGATTGTAGTGTTTCTAGTGAATTACTTTGTTCAAAGTTATGTGTTGCACCTCTGAAGACGGTTTCGCTGCCAAGGCTTGAATTATGCGGTGCTCTTCTTTTAACTAGGCTTATACACAGAATTGTAACTATCATGAATTTAAAAATGCTGCGAAAGTTTTTCTGTATACAGATTCTAAAATCGTTCTTTGGTTGGCATGCTAGATGAACAACATTCGTGGCAAATAGAGTATCCAAAATACAAAATACAGGAGCTTACTTCAAACTTTAAATGGTGTCATGTTACGTCTGAGGACAATGCAGCAGAAAGGTTGTC